GTATCAACGATAGTGGGAAACATTGGATAATTTGCATAACGGGCGAAGCCCGTTATGCGTATATTATCCCCTGTTTCCCACTATCGTTGATGTCCCTGGCATACTACACTAAGTAGACAGTGATTCCGTATATTTCCATTTCATTGTGAAATAAAATTGTAGATTTAGACTTTAAAAATGTACACTAATAGATTTAAATTACACGAGGACTTCCATGCCAATTTCAATAGTCCTCGACCCCTGATGTCAAACACAAAGGCAGCCGCACGAGATTTACCTGCATATTTGACCTCCTTAGCGTCAGACACAGAGACAGATGCGCACAAGATTTGCATGCGTATTAGGCCTCCTTAGCTCCTGACCTATCGACCTGCCTAATTTACATTGCGGCAGAATTATCAAGAAATAAACTCCCCTAACTTTCAAAGAGTTATCAGAGAGAAAAAAAAAATTTGAAATGGAAATATATAAAAATAAATACTTACACTGAAAGGATTTCAAAGACATAATTACATATAACACATTACCAAAAGAATGTTTTCCGGAACTTGTTTAACGATTTCGTGTTTCTGCTGTCGATTCTCGGATCTTAATCCAGAATAACTCAAGATGAACAAATTGAAAATAAATGTATTTTACTCAGGAATATACATTTGCTTATCCTACACTTAAACTTTGAAATTAAATGCAGCTCGGATTTTAAACAACTTATGTAACACGAATGCTATTTTAATTAGTCTTTCTTTGTTACATGAGCACACGCGCGAGATTAAATTATTCATTTAGAATTCCATTCAAAGTTTTAATTCTATAAAGAAATTTAATATTTGTAAAAGTGAATGAATAGTTTTACAAATATAAAATTTCTAGACACAGTTAATTAATTCAAATTAGAGGTACTGTGAGCAATGAGCTCACTAAATGATACCTCCCGCCTCCCATAATGTCCATGTGTTGCTATATATATTGTTTTAAGGTAATGTGTAAAGAGGAATAACTCGTCCTATCAAATGTTATCCAGAAGCTCCTGTTCGTGACGTGATAGGTAAACATATAATGGCAATGTCCATGTTTTGCTATGGGAAACCTAAAATAAGTGTCGAATAAAAAAGTAAAATAGGAGGTGCACAATGGCAATATGTAATAAAGATTCTGTGAAAGTTTCATTAAATTTCACTCAGTAGTATAAGAGGAGTTGCGGATAAGAGATAAAGCGTAACAGACGGACGGACGGACGAAATCCCGATTACTATATACCCTCCCACTTTTCAAGCGGGAGGTACAAAAAGTCTAACAAGCCTTTCTTTACATATTTTATTAGATATTCATATAATGCATTCATTTACAGCAAACTTTTAACTCGAAAACATCTTATTTGGACATAAATAATTTTCATTTTCTTTGAAAAAATACAAAAACATTTCATAAATAATTAAGAGCTAATATCGGCCTTTCAATGCTGAAACCATTGTTTAAAAAAAGATGACTCAAAGATCTATAAAATAAAAACTTGGTGTGGCATTCCACCTTAATGAAATTTCAATGATGCATCTCACTGTATGTTATAAAATCTTGATTTTTGACACACTTTGCACTCAGTAAACAGTTTTGCTATTCTCTCCAAAATACGATGAAAAGTTCAGCCAACATAATCATGAACTGCGAGTCTTTCACTGTCACAGTCTGCACATGTGATTCAAAGACTGACAAAAAATCATCACAAACTATTATAGCGAGCGCAGCGAGCGTCGCGAAGCGACGCTCGTAACTGCGAGCTCTAACGACAACGCCTGGGCGAAGAGAAAATTCGGACTACTGAACATTCATTCTTTAGAATTTTTTGCTGCAGTAATTTTGACCCACAATGCATCACTTAGCAAAGTTGCGTTCTCGCGAGAATGACGGCAAATGTTCAACAAAAAGTTTACTCGACTTGATTAAATGGATACATATTGAAGATAAATTGTAAACGTAACTTTTTTCATTAACTTTCAGCACTGTTCAGTTTTTTCTTGGTATTTGTAACTTACATACGACGTCATGTGACGTCAGAGTCTAGACGCACCAAAGTCACGTGCGGTTTGACGAGCCCGATCTAAATTAAAACAATAGAATAGTTTGCGCTCGCTCTAACGGTCGCACCGTCAACATATTAGACTTTGTCATTTACTTTAATCATAAAATCATTTATTTTTTACTTACATTTATGATCCCATACTGTTTAATTCACTAGTTTTCTTTTAATAAAACACCAACTGCCTTTAAGGGCTATATAAAAAGCACATTTTCTGTCGCAACTGGATGCGGAATTAAGTCGCTTAATGTAGAATGAAACTGGAACGGATATACGGAATTCCGAATTGTTTGGGTTTTTTTTTCAAAGACGACTTCCTGCTAAACCTACGCGCGGGTGACCATAAATCTTGAGTTAATTTTAAACAGTCTTAAACCTAAAAAAAAAAACTTGGATAAAGCCTAGACTGTACACATAAAAATATTTTCTGTATTTGTGAACCTGCAAGTATAGTTTTTTGCCACTGATAGAATTTTTGAAACTTTAATTCTCGAGAAAACAGGCTGGTTGGTCCCCGCATTTTATACAACAAGAAATTGATAAATTGATATGAGGGAAGTATTGAATGCCATAAAATTGGTACCGAAAAAAGTTGGCATGAGAAAAAAAATTGGTCTTTACCCCTCCATCCCCGAAATAGGATTTTCGAGTATGGGCAATTTACCTTTTTTTTTTTTCATTTATTATACCCCCCGCTTGAAAAGCGGAAGGGTATATAGTAATCATTAATTCCGTCCGTCCGTCCGTCTGTACATCCGTCCGTCCGTCCGTCTGTTACGCTTTGGAGTACCCATCTCTTATCCGCAACTCCTCTTATACCACTGAATGAAATTCGATGAAACTTTCACAGAATCTTTATTACATATTGCCATTGTGCACCTCCTATTTTACTTTTTGATCCGACACATATTTTGGGTTTACCATAGCAAAACATGGACACTGCCATTTATATAGTAATCGTTAATTCCGTCCGTCCGTCTGTTACGCTTTGGGGTACCCATCTCTTATCCGCAACTCCTCTTATACATGTACCACTGAATGAAATTTGATGAAACTTTCACAGAATCTTTATTACATATTGCCATTGTGCACCTCCTATTTTACTTTTTGATCCGACACATATTTTGGGTTTCCCATAGCAAAACATGGACACTGCCATTTATACATATATGGGAGGCGGGGGGTATCATTTAGTGAGCCCATTGCTCACAGTACCTCTAGTTTATTATTACTATAATTTTTTTTTTTTGCTTGTCAACTTTTTCAGGTAAGTCAAATCTTTTTTCTCTGCCCCCCCCCCCTCCTTTCAAAAGCGATGCAACTTGACTGGAAAATGCAAAAAAAAAAAAAAATTACCTAGAAATAAGATATATAATGAAGCTCTGCTCTTTGCTCTCAGTTGTTGCATAATACACGTACCATTTTTTTAAATAATCAAACATATGTTTTACATGTAATCTTCCTGGACGTAAAAGACATTAGTAATTTAATTAAATATAAATTGAATCTATGAATAAAATCATGCATTTAAAAACAGTTAACTGACTGAAAAAGAAATAAAAGACAGGCATATTTTTCTGATAAATTAAAATGCAGGGCCAAATCTAGGAAATATTTCTAACTGCTAGCGCTCTTGCTAGCAACGACGTTAGTCCATATGTCTGGAATACGCACGCTCGGCTTCACGATCGGGCATTCTGGGAAAACTTCACGGTCTACCTGTCTGTGAAAACGACCATAGACAGACTGTACGATAACAGTTTCGTTGTGTCATTAAATAACACTGGCCTTTTCTGTTTGATTCTGAAGTTTGTTTATTTATTGTGTAACTTAAGCTTTAAAGTAACAAACTACACAAGAAAAACTTCTATAGATCATATAATGCCAAGATTCTAGACATCTAGCTTGCGAATTATAACTCCATCCTGGATAATGCCGTCAACCTTAAAAAAAATCTCTTTTCTTTCAAAGTTTGTTGGTAAGACACAATAAGCGATTGATACAAATTTAAATGAATGCAGTTCCACACTAAAATAATTTTAATTCTGTAAAATTCACTTCACAAAAATTTTTAACACTAACTATCAGACTCCAGACTCATTAAACATTAAAGACACAAGAAAGTTATATACAAACTAGGGGTACTGTGAGCGATGAGCTCACTAAATGATACCCCCCGCCTCCATATAGTTATAATGGCAAAGTCCATGTTTTGCTGTGGCCGGGAAACCCAAAATATGTGTCGGATCAAAAAGTAAAATAGGAGGTGCACAATGGCAATATGTAATAAAGATTCTGTGAAAGTTTCATCAAATTTCATTCAGTGGTATGAGAGGAGTTGCGGATAAGAGATGGGTACCCCAAAGCGTAACAGACGGACGGACGGACGGAATTAACGATTACTATATACCCTCCCGCTTTTCAAGCGGGGGGTATAATAAATCAAGTGTCTTATAGGCGGCAGATGTCTTTAGTTTGATAACTTCATATAAATTATATAACCACTTGTACTTTCATTTTTAAATCTAACTATTAGACTCCAGACTCATTAAACATTAAAGAATTCAGCAAATAATATATATTCCCTTACTTCTCTGAAAATTGAAAATCATAAATTAAATTGTTAAGAACTTTGTGGGAAACTGAAATGTTAAATCCATTCGGCAAACCTTAGCTGAATGCGTCACCTTAGATACGAATCGGGCGAGGTGTGCCGAGTGCCTTCTCATCCTCAGTAGCTTGGTCCCCTGTCTCATCCTTGCAAAGGCGAAGCACGAGGAGAGCGCGTAGTAAAGAAAGGGACGGGGAACCAGGCTACACCTTCAGTAATGACTAGTCTGGTCCCCTGTCTCATCCTTGCTAGTGACGCTAAACAGTGACAGGGATACAGGTAAAGTCAAACATTGTGACGTTCTTATGACGTCACAATTACTGTTGTGCATCAATGAGGCAAAAGATGTAATACTGTACTGAAATGGTGAGTAAATCAGAATTTGAACCGTACATCTTGATCTTTTATTACGTTTTTTTCCTTAGCGATGACTGGACTTTGTGAATATGGCTAGCTCGTTTATACGCTTGTATATGTACTTAAGAAAATACGATGTTAAAAAGTTTTCAGTAAGTATATTTTTTATATGATTAAAACAAAAAATGATTTTAAAAAGATACTTAGTTACATGTAATATATCTTTATCTTGACGTTTTTACGCTTTTATTAGATAAATTTGTGAAAAATAACTCATTTTTATTTATCAATTTGATCGGCATGCCCCAGGTATACAGCAAATACATGTTACTATAAAAATTAGATGTAAAAATAACTAGCAACGTTACTAAGAAGACTGGTAAATTTACTGTCAATTTAAATTTACACTCACTACCTAAAAAGTAGTTTTACTAGGTATTGAGTAAATTTACTAGATACCAACTAATTTAGTAACTCTAGAATTTATAAGTAACTCACTAGCTTAGTTGATATCTATACGACCCCCAATCCACATGACACCTACTACTCACTATCTTAGCTAGTAAACAGAATAGATACATGTACTAATCACGACGAACTTTACTAGGCACACTAGTTGAATTAACTAGCTATGATTTCTTTCCGTGTAATGGAGGGTTGGGAAATACAAGTATTATTTTTGCATTGTAATAATCAAATTCTAAGATGATAGAGCAGTTGGTTGGTATGAAACTATACCTTCCAGTCGACTGAATGGTTACTGGAATGACTGGAAATGTGACTGAATGGTAAGCTCTGCCATTCAGTCAGTCAGATCTCGGTTAAGTAAATGACAGAGCCTTATCCTAACATGCATATGCACAATGATCCAATTCTTTAGTTGAAGGGAAATGTAATTGGTTTAGACCCTTTATATATATATGTTTCCTAGAATAATTTGGGATTCACCTGAAACTTCGGGGATGGGGCCGCAATGGTAGAACTGTAGTCAATATCTGGAAATCTTCTTTATTATGTTTGGCTTTATTTACAGGCATCAAGGAAACCCAGTAAATTGCCGCTTAAAGGCGGTACCAAACGAGTCCGATTCAATATCCCAATGACTTCCGAAGAGCTGGTACCATACGTTCGGGATTATACGGAATATATTCCGGTAATGTATTTTACTTTAAACGATTGTTATACATGCAAATAAATGGGATTCACGACCAGAGAGCTACAAGTACGTTGTTACAGTATAAAAAGGGCTGTTGGTAAAATAGGGCTGCTGTGTTACAACGCACTTTGAAAAATTAGCACTTTGAAAAAAAAATTCAAAGTGCGTTAAATTTGGGACCAAATCAACGCACTTTGAAAAAATAAAATCTCCTTTCAAAGTGCGTTGATACCGACCATATTAACGCACTTTGAAAAAATGTGTATGGCTTGGTCAATATTCTTGAAAATCTTAGGTATGGTAAATAATTGAACCTGTTGGACAACTTTTCGGTGATAAGGTCACTTCAGGATGTGAAAGTGAGCGATTTTGATTTTTCCATACTTTGATTCTTTCTCCCTTAAATGTTTTACTGTACTTAATTTTTTCCAGTTTGCATGGATTTAATGTAAACTAAAATTTATTGAAAATTTTCAACGTCAAACCAGTTATGTAAATACATATATTTGGGTGTTGCATAGGCATCAGTACCGGGGGGGGGGGGGGTTGGTCACACAAATGTTTTGCAAAGATATAGTTACATAATACAGGAAATAAAAATTGGGGCTCACCTTTGGGGGGAGTAGCCTAGGTCACGCAAGTCGTTTGACACCCCCCCACTGTGTGAGACCATCGATGTGACATACGTGTAGGTGACCTAGACTAAGGTGGGGGTGGGGGGCGGAGGGGGGTTCCACTTTCAATTTGATACCTAAGTAAAAAAGAGTTGGTCTGAGAGACATTCTATATACTCATCCTTTCCTTGTTCTCGATGAGGGTTAATCAATACATGTAAAATGAAACGTTTTTTCGAAGTATATAATTATAAAAAATTGATTTTCTCAATTACTAATATCTAAGTCTATAATTTTTGTTTTATACATATTTTTTTCAAAGTGCGTTAAATGTCAACATGGTAAAATTGTTGATGTACACTCTTAACGCACTTTGAAATTTTTTTCAAAGTGCGTTAAGTGTGTCCCAAATTTAACGCACTTTGAAAAAAATTTTCAAAGTGTATTGATTTTGTCCCAATCTTAACGCACTTTGAAAATTTTTTTCAAAGTGCGTAGTTTTTTCAAAGTGCGTTGCCACACTGCTGCCCTCAAAATCATACCCGACCGCGCAATAGCATATTATAAAAACTAATATTTAATACCGCGGATATGATTTTGATGAATAAAAATTATAAATTATTTTTTTTTCATTTGCAAATAGATTGTTAATATATTTTTGAAGATAAAATAAAAGAAGTGCCAGATAAAATTATCCTTAGTATTCTTTAGGATATATAGTCGGGGGTGGGGGTGGGGGTGTCTACAAGCACCTGTGTTTGAGCGATGCTAAATATAAAATGTCCAGAATGTTACTTATAAATAAATTAACCTGCTGAAAATGTCCGAGCTTAAAAGTAGAAATGATTAGAAATATTTCAGTTATGGTGTCTGTAACATGTTTTTATCAGCAAAAACTAATTCTTTATCTCATGATAATATAAATAGACAGAGTGTTTAAGAATATAAGAAAAGGGGGGGGGGTCGAAAATAAACATGAGAATGAAATGAGTGATAAATAAAAATGAATCTTAATAAAATTATTTTAAGTAAACTTTGAGAATATCTTACTTTTTTAAGCCTGAAGAACTACGAGAAGAGATTTCAGAGAAGGAGGCTGAGGTCATTCCGGAAGACAAGATCAAAAATGGCAGCCAACTCTTGGCAATGGTGAAACAAAGAATGAAAGAGGAAAAGGTTTTTGTATTTGATAGTTAGAGAATTTTATACTAGTATACTTAGAATAGTCATAACAGCGTATGAACCATAACCATCCTATATAGTATTTTTTTCACGAAAAAATTGAGAGTGCTTTTAAATATGTACGTCATGTATTCTGTAGTCCCTCGACTATTTTAATTTTAATTGCTGTTACATGTACCTAACTTGGTGAAAAAAGTCAACACCTGGGGTTGTTCAAGGTTAATTCACTTATTTATAGAATTTCAATTGATTAAAGTTGTAGACTTTTATAATCGTGAAAAGAAAATAATAGATACACAATTAAATTGTAATGAAACGATGTAACTTTCAAGGGACGAAAAATTAGTCCACGACTTTATTTGAATAATTACCAACTTTAAAGCTGGAAAAGCCAACTGTAAATTTGGAAATTAAAGAAAAACTTGGAGCTATTGCGCTTCCGTAAATATTCATGGTAGCAAGGACAGTAAGGACAGCAAAAATATAATTACTTGAATTAATAAATATTTTGTTTAAGAAAAAAGTCTTACACGTACACTGATATATCAATTCAATTCCTTTCAGTAATCAAAATGATTAGCAACAGGTTAACATATATCAGTACTGAATGATATGCACAATAAAAGTACTAATATGTATTAACTGTTACCTTTATCTGTAAGTTTCTTTCCTCCTTTTCTAAACAAAGGTATTAATTTACAAATGTTTCTACTGATTCGCAGCATTTACATGTACAAGAAATTGACTTTATCAAATATATTCGTTAAAAGCTTTTTTTAATATACACGCCTGACGATTTAAAAAAAAATATTTGAAATACTTTCATCGGGAGTTTTGTTTTCAGCGTCGTCCTCTTGTTTTTTGTAGCCCTTCGACTCGAAGACAGGAGATAATTTAAGAGCTCCATTTCGATTTGACCCAAAGATAGGAACAATTAAAGTATGTAAAATTATTCAAATTTTCAAAAGAAAAAAATTCTCACGATTTTCCAATCATTCAATCAAATGCAAATTATATTTACTTAACAGGAAGACGAGGAGTTTCGGGTGCGTACGGACGATAGGCGCTACGGGGTCTTCCCGTCACGCTCAGAGGACCGAATTTCCGATTCCGGGTCGGACTGGTCCGAAGGACCTGACACTTATTTGCAAGTAAGGAATTTTGCAAAATCGTTAAAAATATTGCATTAACAAAGAAAAGGAATCCGAAACTCAAAAGATTAATTTTTTTAATATCATAATAATTATAGATACATGTATTCAATGCATTAAAAATTCTGCATTGTGCAAAAGAGATAAAAAAAAATATTGCGCCAACAAAGAAAATTCGAAAGACTAATTTTTTTTTAATAATATAATTAATAGATATTCGATGCATTTAAAGTTCTGTTTTCTTTTAATTTTTTTTTT